GATGGGGGCGACCTTGGAATGGACACCTAGAGGGGAGACAGAGCTCCGGGGTTCCGGGATATGGGATTAAGAGAGACGGGGTTCAGGGTCCAGATAAGGGGATTAAAGGAAGGGGACTAATCAGATGAGGGTCCGGAGGAGTCGTGACGAGACAGAGGAACTGGGGAGCGGAAGGGCCTGAGGATCTAGGTGGGGCACCCCAGGCAGGGCAAAAGCTGCTTCCCCACTTCACCGCGCTAGTCCAACTTCCCGCGGTGGGAGGGAGGCCTAGTCATGGGGGTTCAGCGAGACTGGGTTGTGGAGACGGGGTCCAGAGAGATGGAGGTGCAGAAGAGGGGGACAGAGAGATGGGATGCAGAGGTGAAGGACAAAGAGATGGGGGTTAGTGAGGTGGGGGGTTCAGAAAGAGGAGGTCACATATATGGAGCCAGAAGGTTGGGGTCCAAAGAAATGAACATTTAGATATGGGGGTGCAGAGAGATGAGGATCCAGAGATGAAGGATGAGAGAGATGGCGGTTAGTGAGGTGCAGATCTGAGAGATGAGGTACAGACATGGGGGTCAGAATGATGGGGGCTCAGAGAGATGGGGTCCAGAGATATGAAAATTTTGATATGGGGGTTCAGAGGTGAAAATCCAGAAATGAGGTATCAGAGAGATGGGGGTCTGAGAAATGGGGTTTACACATGGGATATCTGGGAGATCGGGGTTCAAAAATGGAGCATCGGGTGATGCAGGTGCAGGGTTGTAGCCTCACCAATTTGAGGGTGTCAGTGACCAGACAGGGGAACTAGGGAGTGGAGGCCTGGGGATTTAGATGGGGCGTCCCAGGCAGGGCTGGAGCAGCGGGTGCTGCTCCCCAACTTCACAGCGCTAGGCCAGCTCCCCGGGATAGAAGGGAGGCAAGAAAGAAGCCTAAGACTGGGGCTGTCCAGGGCGCTGGGCCAGGCTCACCCGGAGGGCGTCACTTACCGCGATGACCTCTAGTCGCTGCCGGTAGAGGGAGCTCTCGGCCATGGGTCTGTGGGGAGAGGGCAGGGGCTTCGGAGGGGGTCTCCCAGGGCCCCACCATCAGCAAGCTGACCTCTTGAATGACCCTCTCTAAGCCAAGATCCCTGCGCTGCTTGGAAAACAACTAGAGCCCAGCATTTCCTCTCTTTCCCCTTTGCACGTGGGAGGAGTTGGGGCAAAGGATAGATAGGAGTCCTGTGGGGAGGCAGGAGCAGAGACCATGACAGGTTGAGCTAAAGCCCTTCCTCGGTCTGACATCACCTCTCTGAGCCTCAGTTTCCTCATCTGTAAAATGGACCTGGATAGCTTGACCCTGACCTTGCAGAGAGATGCCCTAACAAGGAAGTATCCATGCGGGGGGAAATGTAGTACTCCAAAAACAGTAACATAGTTTATTATTCATAATTCCTTTAATAATTCCCATGATTGATAACGCTTATGATGAATTATAATAACCATTTCCAGTCCGTCCTACAGAAATTCTCGAGTCCCTCCAGACCTCCAACATGCTGTGTCTCTTTCAGATTCCACACCCTCTCTGGACTTTGGCTCCTACCCAGGATCCCTTAAGCACATCCCACCACTGTGGACACTCACCATTGCCATGGTAACTCCAGAGCTGCCTTCTCCACCTGCCAACCCTCACCCCCAGGAGGCAAGGGTCGGCAAGTCATGCTGCTTAGCCCTGGACTCTGAGCTGAAAGGAGGGGGGGAGGATTTGCTATTTAAGGTTTAACCTGAGATACTGTCATCAGTTGTCCTCCTTGCAGCATCCCAGGATCACAATTCACAGCCTCCCGGGCCGCCCCTGGCCCCATCTGGAAACTGGGAACTGACTGTGGTCCTGCAGGGCACTTAGGAGACAGTCTTCGCTGTACCCACCACCTATCATCATGGACATACATTGAGCGCTAACTATGTGCAGGTGCTTCACAAGCCAGCATCTAGAAGGCTACATCCGCCTGTTGTTCTCTACACTTAGCCCAGGGCACACACAGGGCAAGCCCTCCAACACGTATTAATTTGAGCGCTAGCACTATGGGGTGAGTGTTAGCCTCATTGCCCAAACTCAAGCAGGGCCTTCCAGATCTTCTCTGGTCACACCATGCAGCTATAATCTCAGCACATATTTAGCACTTACTATATATAGTGCTCTAAGTGCTCTGTGGGGCTTCCAATCGGCTACCACAGCCACCTCCCCCTCCCCCTCTCTGCCCTGATCTTGAGACACTGGAGTCGACTCTGCTTAGGTGATATTCCAACTGAGAATAAAATCACCCAACCATTACCCAACGCCTACCATGTGCCAGGTGCTGTGAAATGCTTTGCCTATATAATTCATTGGGTCTTTCCAAAGATCCTAGGAGGTAAATAGTATTCTTGTCCCCATTTTATGGATGGGAAAACTGAGGCTCTAAGAAGTGGCAAAAAGACTTGCCCAAAGTCACTCACTGAGTCAGGATTGGAACTGGAAGCTCTCAGGTCCCAAACTAGGAGCCCCGGGGGAGAGAGGAGGGTCCAGGCACCCGGTCTCGGCAGCCAGGAGACCAGCGATCAGCCTGGGAGTCTGTGATTTCAGTTGGGGCCGGGGGTTGAAGTCATGGTTTGCAGGGAAGGCCAGACCCTCTGCTAAATAGGTTTGCCCCTGAGGGAGGCCTGAAGTCCCCCCTCTGCTGTCCCACCCCCAAGATGTAATCTCCTGGCCTCTTCCTTGCTGGGGGGGGATCAGGTTCCCGTTGCTAGGCAACCAGGTTTGTAGTTGGTGAATAATGCAATGGGAGACCCAAAAGAGTGAGGAAACCAAATTGGGGTCCCTGGGGGGAGCCCATTTTCCAGAATTTTTTTACAAACCTCTGGAGCCCCTTCACCCTCCTCCTTTAAAAGGCCCTCACACTTCTGATATTAACATACTGTGTACATGCATTTAATATTGTTTATCTCTAATTCTACAAGAACAGTGTTCATAGCTATGGCCTGTTGCCACCAGGAATAGTTGGTAGCCATTTCATTAAGCAGGTGATCATTTCAATTTTGCCATCGTCTTTCCCAGTTTAGGAACTAGTAACTTTTTCTGTGGGATTTCAAACATTTCCTCCCACCATAGCCGCTAAGGGGTGTTCCTAGAGGCCAAAGGGAGCAGTGAGGAGCCCTGACATTCCCACCCCGCCCCCACCCCAGTCATAGCCCCACCCCCAGGCTGGACTTTGGGCTTGAAGCCTCCGAGCAGAAAATCCCCCAAAACGAGGGTGGAGGTTCACTTCTCCCACCCAGCTCTCTGGGGAGGGGGTCATCGGAGAGCCTTCGAGGTTGGCTGCTGGCCTCCCTCCACTTCCCCTGGCCTTAGGAGAGGCCATCTGGGGCTCTCACCCCAGTGGAAAGGTCAGCGTCCCCAGTGAGCCCCTCCCAGGCCCTGCCCACCTGCCCCCCTGACCCTGGACACTTACATGGGTGTGGCCGGAGACCACACCTGGCTCTGCAGGGCCATCTCTGCCCAGAAGCCCACGTTCTGGTCTCAGATGTCCAAGATCAGGACTCACTACCTGCTTGCCTGCCTGAAGGTGCCCTGGATGGAGGCTGTGACTTGGCTGGCAGGAGTGGGGGGGCTGCGGTCAGGCACCGGGAGAGCTGGTCCAGCTGGTTTGGGCTGGGAGGCGGGAGGTGCATGGGGCGAGGGGGGCTGGGGGCTGGCGGGCAGTTCTGGGGAGGTACTATCAGCTGTCCTGATAAATTATTTACCAGCTACTGGCCTCCTTGCTGCACTGGGCTGCCTCCCGGCAAACATGCTCTCACATGCCTGGTGGGGCATGTGGGCCAGAGTGGGGAGTCGCAGACCCTCCTGGGAGAATGGTGCCCCCACTTGGCATGCCAGACGACTCAACTCCAGTCTGCCCACTATGGGTCCCTCACATGTGAGCATCATTGCACACCATCCATGCTGGCTATTCTTGCACACTACGTACTGCCCTCCCTTCTTGGACCCTGGCTCTGGGGTGGGGAGGGAGGGACTAATCCAGCTAGAGGATTCTGAGCTCTGTGGGAATCGGGAGACCTGGGCTTTGGGTAAATGCTAGGCAACTTGCCTCAGGTTTCTAGGCCTCAGTTTCCCCTTTTGCGAAATGTAAGAATTAGATTAAGTGGCCTCCAGGGCACTGGACCCTTAGATGCTGTAACAATTAGGGGTGGGTTCGTGATGAGAAAGGTCCAGAGAACTTTCCACCTAAATCTTGAGGGTCTCTATTTGACACCCCCATGCCATTCTTAAAGTGCCAGCAGCCCCTTTCTACTCTCCTGGCTGGTCTCCCATAGTCTCCAGTGCTTCCCCTAATTGCACAGCCTTGGTCACACTGTGCAATTCCAAGACATGAGCCTCAAGGAGAAAGGTCCTTGCCTGACCTCCCTGCTCTGGAGAGCACACTTCAGTGAAGACCCTCCCATGGAGCAAAGAGAAGGTCCCCACATCCTCACCTCCCTCTCCTAGTTCCTATTCGGGGTACTTGGGACATCCAAACTCCTTGCCCCAGTGTTATTGTTCTTTTTAAATAAGAAGGAAGGGTTTTATTTTTTATTGATTTCAAAGAGAAAGGGAGAGAGAGAGAGAGAGAGAGAGAGAGAGAGAGAGAGAGAGAGAGAGAGAGAGAGAAACAACAGGGATGAGAGGGAATCATTGATCAGCTGCCTCTGCCTCCTGCACAGGATCCCCGACTGGGGATTGAGCCCGCAACCGAGGCATGTGGCCCCATGGGTATCGAACCCACGACCTTCTGGTTCACAGGTAGATGCTCAACCGCTGAGCCATGCTGGCTGGACTTTTTGTTTTTTGGTGTGTTTTTTAAATCCTCACCTGAGGATATTCTTTTTCTTTTTTAAAAAAATATATCTTTATTGATTTTAGAGAGGAAGAGAGAGAGAAACGTCAATGATGAGAGAATCATTGATCGGCTGCCTCCTGCATGCCCCCTACTGGGGATTGAGCCTGCAACCAGGGCATGTGCCCTTGACCGGCATCGACCCCAGGACCCTTCAATTCGCAGGCCGGCGCTCTATCCACTGAGCCAAACCAATTACGGTGAGGATATTCTTTTCTTGAATTTTAGAGAGAGAGGAAGTGAGAGGAAGAGAAACAGCGATCGGTTGCCTCCCATATGCGCTCCAATCAGGGCTTGAACCCACACCTAGGTATGTTCCCTGACTGGGAACCAAATCCAAAACCTTTGGTGTATGGGACAACACTCCAACCAACTGAGCCACCCAGCCAGGGCTGCCGCAGTGGTCTTGAGCTCACTGAGAAAGCTTTCCGTTTCCCGAAGGCAGACCACGCAGCCAGGGTGGCCTCACCCTGCCACTTCACTGTACCCTGACCTCAGAAGTGGCCAAGAACAGCTGTGGGGATAAGGGTGAGGAAAGAGCTTGGGCATGTAGGACGGGGTCCCAAGGCACATGCACAAGGTTCCTTGCTACGCAGGGCAGAGTTGGAGGTGGGAAGCAAAGGGGGCCAGACTGAGCACTGGGGTTTCCCTGTACCCCGTATTCTAGCACAAAACTCCTAGGGATTCAAAATGTCCATTAAAGTGGCGGGGGAGGGCAATGGGGGGATAAGAACACCCATGTAATATCTTAATCAATAAAGAATTTTTTTAAAAAAAGAAAAGAAATAGATTCCTAATCTGTTAAAGGCAAAGAAGGGATATTTTCAGTTACTTCAATATTGTCAGTGTTTTATTTTTATCTGAAAATTAAAAAGTATGATTTTGTATTGTATACAACCATTTCAAAGAGTAAAAAATAATTACCATGCATTCCTTATCCAAAAGAGACTTAGGGAATAGTTTTATTAAGAGTTATTTGTAGATTATCATAATGAATAACTCATTTTAAAAAATGTCCATTAAACCTGGCTTTCTAGGTCATTCTAAAAGTATATTTGCCATGATATGAAGAGAGAACATATTTTTAAAATTGTTTTTTAATTGTGGTAAAATACACATAAGATTTCTCATTAGTGACATTTAGTCCATTCACAATATTGTGCAGCTTTTACCACTATCTAAATTCCAGGACTTTTTCATCACCCCAAAGGAAATCCTGCCCCCGGAGCAGTCACTCCCCATTCTCTCTCCCCAGCCTCTGGCAACCACCAATCAGCTTTCTGTTTCTATGGATTTGCCTGTCCTGGAAATTTTATATCAGTGGAATCATATAACATGTGGCTTTTTGTGTCTGGCTTCTTTCACTCAGCACAATGTTGTAGCATAAATAAGTGCTTTATTCCTTTTTATGGCTGAATAATATTCCAGTGTATGGATGGACCACATTTCATTTATCAATTCAGTGTTAATGGATATATGGATTGTTCTCACCTTTCAGAGGCAAGAATATATTTCATTTAAGTGCTTGTAGTTTGATTTTATAAATGTAATAACAACAATAATCATCTAAAAGGAGCCACTTTAAAATGGAGCCAGAGCTGCCACCCTAAAGGAACTGCCTTTCATGTCTTTGGAAAGACATGCCCCTCAAACCTTTGGAATGTTAAAACAGAGCAAAAGCCCTGGCTGATTTGGATCAGCGTATAGAGCAGCGGTTTCACCGTGACCGGTTTGGCTCAGTGGATAGAGCGTCGGCCTGCGGACTGGAGGGTCCCGCGTTCGATTCCGGTCGGGGGCATGTGCCTGGGTTGCGGGCACATCCCCAGTGGGAGATGTGCAGGAGGCAGCTGATCGATGTTTCTCTCTCATCGATGTTTCTAACTCTCTATCTCTCTCCCTTCTTCTCTGTAAAAAATCAA